CCCCAAAACCCCAAAACCCCAAAACCCCATAGTTAAATTTTTGATCAAATAATCGAAATAATTTATTTTATAGATTTATTAGACATATAGATTTGCCAATTTAATGAGATCTTAGAAAACAACATCTGCCAGTCTGATCTAAGTCAACAACGAAGTAGACCTCTCCTATTTCAAGAGAATGCTAGAAGACACTAAGAGGCGACTTGACTAGCTTAGTTTCATCGAGCAGAGAGCAGCAATGGTCGGTTCAATCTCAAGTCTAGAGGGTATGTATAAATTTATCTCATTATGCCTGTCGCTTATCTTTTTATCTGTGCAGATGAAATAACAATAGCTTATGATGAAATAAAGAAGAACGAGAAGGATCTGAACAGTATTTTCTCTGTCGCAGAGTTCCTATTTGATAATCGAGAAGACTTGTACTTGAAATATGAAGAGGAGCAGCAGAAAGTTGAAGATCAGAAGCGAGAAATTCACGGACTCAATCAAAAGATTGACTCTATTATGGTAAGATCTCATTTATTGGCTAATCAGTTCTATACAGGAAGAACTCACTCAGAAGTCTCAAAACATAGACAGACTTAATAAAGCAATGCAAACTCTAGAGAAGCAAATCAAAGATTAAAGGACTGAGAATGAAAAACTCAAGAAAAAGGGTGAGGACTGGAATAAAAAACATGATGTCCTCAAGGAGAGTTTGCAATAATAGATAGATAAAACATAAGAAATAGAGGAGACTAGCTAAGATAAGGTTAAAGATTATGAAACGAGACTATAAGAGCTGTAGACTATGCTTAATGAGTACATAGGCAATAATGAGAAATAGACTTTGATAAATGACGAAAAAGACCTAGAAATCAGCAGACTCAGAAGAGAAAATGAAGACCTACAGAAGGTAAAGAAGAATTCAACTGAAAAGATAATGGAGTATCAAGCTATTAATGAACGCTTGAGAAAAGATAAATAAATATTAGAGGATGCAAAGAATGAGCTTAACAAGAAAATGGAGATGATGGAGATGCTTCAAAAGAGCGCTGCTATGGTGATGGGCAAAAATGACTTTGAAGATGAAAATATAGGTGGTGGCGGCCTCGGCGGTGACTTAAAGGACTTTGAAGATATGGACAATAGCTTCAATGGAGGAGAGTTAAATAATAGCAATAATAATCTTAGTCGATCTGATCAAAGAGACAGCAGAAGAGGAACATTTTAGATGGATTTAAATCAATCATTAAACAGTGACCAGTAAGAGTTTCAAAATAAGCTGTTTGATATGCAACAGCAATATAGCACAGTATAGCCTGAAATAGGATCATATAGAAATAGTTTAAACGTTGAAAATAATCAGATATTTACCAATGAGCTACTAAATAACATTAAACCTGAAACAAGGGACTTTGAGATATAGACAGAAGTATTACAAGTGACAGAGAAGAAAATATAGACAGAAAATGCTGGATAATTATCAGTAAATATCTAGACAGACAAAGCTGAGAATAAATCTATTGGTATTTAAGCAGTCTAAGCAATTGAAACAAGTGATTAAGAAATCTAAACTGAATCTGAGGAGGAACAGTTAGTTTCTCTATCGCTAAACGTTTTTAGATTCGATTTAAAGCCAACTATCTAAGTCTAGCTTTAGCAATAATCACCTATAAAGAAGGTTGAAAATTCATAGTCACCAAATAAAAGAATATCTAGGATGATGATTAAACCTAAAGGCTTTGAGAATTTGTAGATCTCGATGACTGATGGCAACAACGAAGACTCACCTAAAAATGAACTTAACTTGAAATAAGTTCCAGCAACCGAAAAAGCAGATGGTCAGAAGAAGAAATTTGACTTAACTCAACAGTCAGACTTTGAATAAATGAGGACTGCTCCTAGCATCTAAACTCCTTCTTCCAAGTCTAGTTTCTTTATGAAAGATCAGCTGACTAATGATTACTTTATGAACAGAGACCCAATGAAAGAATTCTTTGCTTTGGTAAGCATAATATTAATTTCATGAATCATATAGTGCTGTCAATCAGTAAAACTAAATAGCCCACACATGAACATTATTTGTACAATAAATTAAAAGACACTATATGACAAAGTTCTTGAAGATAGCATTCCATTTTTCAAAGTAATCTCAATAACTCATTCATTACTTTTATTTTTAGTGGTATTAATGGATTGAAAGTACAATTAACAAAGAAGTTTTACAGTCTATATTTAAGGATAAGGCTAAATAAAAGCAACAAGCTAAGCCATAACCCCAAAACCCCAAAACCCCACGGGATTTGCCTACATTCTTGGAAAATATTAAGGATTTTATATTATAATAATTAAACCAGTATAATATTTGAAATTCAAAGAAAATGCAGAGACAAAAGCCATACAGACCAAGACCAACTCCAGTATGTATTTGACTAAAATATTCTCAAATAACCTTAAAAAGTATATAACTTTTTATTTAGGCGTTTATGAACATATATGATCTAACACTCAACATGAGATTATATTTGGTTTAAGAAAATGGACCAACAAAACTTGTGTTAGAAGATCCAGAACATAAAAAGTTCAAAATTTAAATTGGTTAAGAAGTCACATGTTCTTGTGGAGGAGGCAAAGCTGAACATTGTGCACACACAGTAAATACTTGTAAAATAATTAAGAAATTAGATTTTTGCTCTAAACAAGATCTTTAAGATATAAGATGGAGATCCATTACTTTGGTAACTGTCTTATATTGATTCAGAGATATCGAGAATTCTTCAAAACAGAATGAGGGCTTAACATGAAATTACTTCAACTAGGAGAAGAGATGTGGAAAAACCGATTAAAGATGGAAAGAAAGTTGACAAGAGGGATAAAGTTAAAAGAATGGAATTAGATCCTGAGGAAACTTGCTGTGTCTGTTATGAAGAAATGAAAGAGACAGAAAATCTTACCTTTTGTAAATTTGGCTGTGGTAGAAATATCCATATTGATTGTATTGAGGTTTGGGTAAAGCATAAAATATCTGTTGCATAAAAAATTACTTGCCCTGTAAGGAAATATTCTCATCTCAATTTCAAATATAGCTTTGTAGAATAGACTGGGGTCCTAATGCATTAGAGGATTTGAAAGAGGAGACCAAAAATTACAGAGATAAACTTAAAGAAAAAAACTCAAAAAAAAGTAAAACCGATGATTAAGTTGATCGAAGCTTTAAGTGCTCTTGTTGCAAAAGAAAATTGACTTATGAAGCTAAGCTATAGTGCATTTAGTGCGCAGTAAGTGAAATAATAATAGTTATTTATATTTTAGGATGTTGAAATATGCAAATTATGCTTTTCTGGTAGATACCATGACCATCATGATTTCATGATAAGACCAAGTCCTGATAAAGATTGGGAACCTGCTTTTAGGGGTAATGCCTCAAGTTATAATGAGGAATATGTTAGGCTAATGACTGAATTACAAAGCAGAGAGATAAGGCCAGAAGACTATGAAATGCTCTTACAATTAGAGTAGAGCTCTAATAAAGTCCCATTACCAAAATATTTGGTTTCTGTCTTTGATAAAGCAAATCCTCCAACTGAGGAATACCTTAGCAATTCGAATGCTGTTTGTAATTTTTGTTCCTCAAAGATTGAGGACAAGACAAAAGGCTTACCTTTGAGAAACTGTCATCATTATGTCCATAAGAACTGCCTCGAAGATATGTTCAGATTGAAGAAGAGTAAATGTCAGACTTGCCAAAAAGTAATCGCTGATGGCTTCGAAAAGTCATTGCGCATTGTTAGAAAAAAACCAAAAGTTGACACAAAAAAGAAACAACTTGAGGAAACCAAAGTCAAAGTATTACAAGAGATATAAGAAAGAGTATAACCGATAAGTTTTGGGATTGAGGGAGTGGCTTTAATAGGAAATCCTGAAGACTAAGTAGACCCCAGATCACTCTACACTAATAGCACATAATAATTTAAGATTAGACAATAAGGGGTTAAACCAAATGGTAAAAGATTTATCCCAAAAGGAAAGGTTTAACCAGAGACTAACAATCAATTTGATTTTAGATTGAATGGAAGGTAAATAGCAGGAAATAATGAAAATATGAGTGAGACATCATAATCTTATAATAACTCATAGTAGGCTAGATCCTAGATAAAAAAAGGGCTCTCTCAACAACCAAATAACAGAAATTTAGTCTAGCATGAAGAATAGTTAAATTTTGGTTAGCCTTCTATACCAAGTAGTAATCATTTTGCTAATTTTGGCGGCAATGCTTAACGAGAAAATCTAGGTATGCAAAATTAGCAAAAGCTAATTAAGTAAACTAAATTAAGAATAAAAAAAGACATTTAGGAGTATAAATTACAGCAGAACATATCAATAGGAATAAATGGAAATGGTTTAATGATAGGAAATGAATTTGGTAATGGCTAGGATAATCTGATAGGACTCTCTTAAAATGGCCTTTAAAATAAGAAAGGAATTCTAAGTCAAAGACCTCCAAGAAAACAACCAATTAGTGGTTTAGCTAGTAAAAATTAAAGAGAATAACTGAGATAAGAAACTTTATAGTTAAACGCTTAAGCTATACTCAATACAAATGGAATGAGAATCAATAATTTAAATACAAGCTAGCATAATACTTTTGAATTGCCTCCACTGTCCAGTAGCAGTAGAAGATCGACTTAAATGCAAAGCAGCTCTTAATCAGCTACTGGTTCGATCTAAAATATATCTTAGAATCGAAACTCAGATATTTAATATAGGTAGAATCTAATTTAAAGACATCAATAGCTAGAGGAAGAATTCAAGTAAATGATTGGTGGAGCAAATAACAGAGATTACTCTCAATGGAATGAAGACGGGTAAATAGAGGAAGATGACAGTGAATAAGCTAGATATGCAGCTTTGCAATTGTAGATATAAAATAGAATTAGATCATAGTATGATGAAGCTTAAGATGTATAATATAGTAGTGATAATGATGGTGGCATGAATGATGATTATTAAGCTGTTGATGAAAGTGAAGAAGCCAATAACAATAACATTTTATAATCTAATGAATAAGATAACGATGAATACTGATTAATATTATTGAAAAATTATTAAAGTTTTATTCAGTTTTAAATCTATATTTTATTGATTTGATTCAAGGGGTTTTGGGGTTTTGGGGTTTTGGGGAGATCGGAAGAGC